ACGTCTGGGCAGGGCCTCGGCTCCTGCTTTTGCTAATGAAGTGATTAGTGCAACGCCTCTCCATGCAATATTGCTTATTAGGGAGCAGCACATCCAGGGGCGGAGGTCTAATAAATAGCCCCCAACTGCTCTCATCGCCCCACGATGGAAATAAAACAAAGCACTTTCCATCGATCACAAATATTAAGCACATTTGTTATTAACGCCCTCGCCAAACTATACAACATATATGCGCAAAAGTTTTCGGGGCTATGGCACATATGCCTTAGATGCAGATAAATTTCGTAGACGTGCATTGGCAAAAAGGCAGGGGTACGGATTTCTGGGCCCGGTTTCGTGAGCTCTACGAGTCTAATCAATTCCAATTAGCAGTCCAGTCCTCTGATGTATTAGCCAAAATTATTATTTATTATTTATCATTTGTATATTTGTTATTTATTTCCTGTGGATAATTACTGGGTGCTGCTTGATTTGGTGCGTTTTTCTTACACTTGAAATTCTGGGTCCTTAGTGGTTTAAGTGGATAAATTAATTTGATAGTAATGTAAGTGCTAGGTAATTGCAAAAATATTTAAAATTTACACTGATAACAAGTAAGTCCATTAAGTTCATATATATTTTAATACGTTAATTGAAAACGTTAACTTAAAATTAAAAGTTATTTAAACTTAGGTTTAACACAAAACATAACTAACTTTGTATCTAAAGTTTTTACCTTGGTTTTAATATACTTAAATAAAATGTGTATTACATATTATGTGTTCAATTTAAATATGAATGTTTATTTTTAGTAAAACATTTTATACTGTACTACTGTAATACTTTATTTAAAATTGAAAAATATTCAAGCATTGATCCTTAATCACTTTCTTACAATTAAAGCCCGACCTCCACCTGAGTAAAGTCAACACATATCTGCAAGTTCACGAACGCCTTTCGATGTGAAAGCAATTGACAGGTTGCGAGGCGTGAATGCCAACAGGATACCCCCAAGGACTCGTCATTCGAGGATTCGTTTTGCGGGGAGAACGAGGAGGAATTCACCATCTTATGTTTGTTGGTAAGTTGTTGATGTGGCTATTAATTAATGCGTCATGGAATGACAAGACCGACGCTGGCGAGCAAATTTATGAAGATGTACGTATATATATGTGAGGATATCGCATAGTCGGCTGCCAGGCATATAGATGCGATGGGTAAAAGCATATTTATGGATTATGAGGGCATAAATCTCAGTTGGGTTTTATCAGGGCCGAGCCAAAGTCCAGGAGAGCTGAATGATGATGGAATATGCGTATTTTTTTAATTAGCAACATTTCCCCAGATTTATGAGTGTCCTGTGTGTGAGCTATCGTATATATATATACATTTTCGCACTCTAATGCCCATTGGCTTTTGGGGGTCGGGGGACATTTGGGAATTATCTGCAGACGTGCCAGGTCCAATGATTTATGCATTCGTTTAATTGAGAAGTTCGAAGAGACTTTGATGGCGCAAATCCTCAAAAGCTTTGATTATAATCGCACCTGAGGAAAAAAGTAATTAGAGTCGGCCACATCAATACGGCTGAGCACCGTGGAAGGATGGGGGAAAAATGCATGGAAATCGAAATCGAAAAATAAATAATTGAGATGATAATTCCACATAATTAGCAAAATCTCGAGTGATGATTTTCAATTATTATTGGCATCGGAATTGGATGGGATTGAACATTGGATTGAGCACTGAACGTTGAGCATTGGGGGTGGGACTTCTGATTCCATTCACGGGCTTCTGTTTTTTTTTTCGTTGGGAAACTTTGGGGACGTCGGTGGCGCATCTTAATTAATTCCTGTTTGATGAAAAACACTTTTACAAATTGATGTAGCCGGGGAAAAAAAAGAGGAAAACTTTTACCTGTCGGACGTCATCAGGAGGTGGGGGTGGCAGCCCTCGGGTTCTTGTCAGCTCCAATGACCTCTCACCCCGCCGCACCCGGGGCGAAAACCCCGCTTGAAATCCATTTTGTCAACTTTTTACAACCAACTTCTGCTTCTGCTCCTTCCGACTCCCAGCGAAGTGGATTCAATTTTTTCTCATAATTTGTATGGTGTGTGCGGGTGTGTGCGGGTGGGCACACGCACACATTGAATTCGTCCTTTCAATCAAGGAGTCCTGGCTCCTTGCAACAATCGCACGTCCACATCCGCGTCCAACTGTCAGTCAAGTGGCCGACGCCTTCACCCACACGTCACTTCCACTCCTCCCCCCTCCGCCCACTGCCCCTGCCACGCCCCCCGCCCAGCTGCCTGTCACTTCAGAACTTTCCTTGCGAAGTCCTCATCCTCCCTGAATCCGGCACTCGGAGTCCTCCAGTCTACGGGTCTCCACTCCCATTCCCATTCCCATTCCCAATCCCAGTCGCAGTCCAACTTGAAGTGCAAGTCGAAGTCAACTCGCCTGAGAGACATTGATTGACTTTCTTAATAGACTTTACGTCTTGTCAAAATTAAGGAAAAGCTTCACTTCGAAGCTCTGCGTTCGCATCCTTTGCGCTAGTTCGTTTTTGACGTCTCCTTCCACTCGAACTCCTTTGACAGATCGAATAAATAGCAACCGGATTAGTAGACTTGAAGTCCTATGAGAATCCTTGTTTTTTACCGGACCTGCATTTTTTATAGAAATGTTTATTAAACAGAAAACTAACTTTTTTTTGTTTCAGACCAATAAAATTATTGGGCACCAAGTTTTATAGTACAATATTTTCCAATATTCAATTAATATGTCCTCATCCTTTTTCTGCTTAAGCAAAGCCTTTAAAACACAAACTAAAGTAAAACTTAAAAGTAGCTTTTTATCGTAAAACATAATACAATATTGAAGTAGCTAAATAATAATAAATAATGAATAATACATTATTATTTGTTAATAAATAAAATATTATTTACCACTGCAGTTTGTATACAAAGTAGTGCATATAAGCAAACACAAAACATGCATTTCCTTAACATATTTTTAAAAAATGTTTCCATTATTCATTTAATTTACTTAATTGTTTAATTTAATTATAATAATTAATATAATAAATAATAGATAATTATTTTTTAATTATTATTTATCATTGTAGTTTGTATACAAAGAAGTGAAAACCAGGCAGTTTTTTCATTTTTTTTGTAAAAGGTTTCTATAATTTTTTTTTTAATAATAAGAAAACAATTTGTTATGTTGTTATAACAAAATTTAAGCTAGAAGCTTACCAAACAAGCGGTCTTAGATCTATAACATGTTGTATCCTGCTTCTGGAATGGCTTTTCTTTAATATTTCGTGGTACAACAAAAAAAGTAAGCAACCCCTTCGAGTCTAACTTTTATAAGTACATCTTTCTTGTTATTGTTGCGTTTAATACAAGTTAAGTTATCCATTAAGTCCGTTGGAAATTTGCACAATAACTTATCCTCCTACTTAAATAGCTTGTCTTTAATGGCATAACATATAAGCTTTAACAACCATGGGATCCTCAAAAAAAGTTCCCATGGCCTCCGCCTAAGTCCTTGCAAGTGGCCCCAATGTTCGATTTCCCACCATGATAGAGCCGCACTGTTGCCTGCCACATTTGCGAGGAAAAAAATGTATATAAATATTATTTATGCGCCTTGATGGTGGATTTGCGTTTGCATCGACAAATCAAATTATCCGCAGCGTGAGACATTCGTCATGTCTAGAGTTGGACATGGCCAAGGTCTCCTTGGCCGTCCCCGAGTCTCCTTGTCCGTCATTCCGAACCCGAATCGGAATCCGATGCCGTGTCGGCCACAGTCACAGCCATCCGTCATGACCGGTGACGTCGGCGTCCTCGTCGCAGTCATCGTTCAATGCATGAAATCGAGTGCACTGGCATCGGATTTAAACAGTTTGATGGATCAACTTGCGCACGTCCCCGTCATAACTCACAACACTTTTCTCCGACCCCCCTAACCCAACCTCCCATCCATCCATCCACATGCACATACACCCATCTAGATCCCCATCCATATCGCCCCGTCATCCGTCCATCTATCCGTCCATGTCCGTCTGGACCAAGGCCTCCTCCATTTGACGTTTGACGTGAGAGCACGTTTGATGGAAGATCTGTCAGGACGGGCATTGAGCCTTGTTCCAATTCGCTTGCAGCTTTAGCCTGTCTGTTTCAATGCTGGCCAATTTGCAAGCTGAATGATTGTCGGTGGCTTTTGTTCTCAGTCCCATGGTATCGTGTCGGCAACGATTTCTTCATTTTTAGATACCCTATGGCCCCTGATTTATTGGCAATTAATAAAATTGAAGTGTCATAATTCACAAGGCGGTCCCTGTAAGCTGTCTACCCAGTTGTAATTGAGTATTATTGGGGGTGATGGCTGGAATGCCAGAAATAAATGCAGATTAGGTTGAAATTAACTCGAGAAGCGTGAGAAAAGAATGTAACCCTTTGGTGTTATGTGGATATATTTGACTTTTCAGGATAATAATAGTACAGTAAAGTTCGCGTCCCATATGGAACCCTATATAGGTCTTGTTTGCTTCTATATTTATATAGATTATTCATTATTTATTTATATAGATTTCAGAGAAATAAGCCAAGATAAAGTAACGATGGTCGCAATAACAGTAATAATAAACTTTAAAAAAATTTGAAACATAATTAAAAATAAAGAATTGCTTAAAATACTTCACGAGTAACGGGTATAATAAATAAATACTAGTAGAATATTTCAATGATCAAAAAGGATTTTGAGGAAGATCAGAGATGTAGTGCGCTGCGACCAACACCTGGTATCGTACTATATTATGCATTGTATACTATTTTAATATAGTTTTTAGGCTTCATATATTTTTCTCGCGTTTCATGATTTTCCAGTGAAATTTCCTTGTTTGTGGGGTGTGGTACTTTTTTTAAACAGTAATCTCTAAATTCTGCATAGCCCAATCAGATATTTGTAGCTTTTATAATTTTCGAGATGGCAGCGCTTAGTTCAGTTATCGATAGTTAGCAATCGGAGTTACGCATCTCTAGCTCTTCTTCTTCCAAGGCCTGAACTCGTTTGACTTAATTTTGTTGGGACGCTGACAAAATAACAAAAAAAAAGGGAAATTAACGACAAATAACCGAAAAACAATGGACGAGAACTCAGTGGAACGTGTCGAGGATAAGCGGGTGGTGAACGGACGCACGGAGTACTACCTGAAGTGGAAGGGATATCCGCGCAGCGACAACACGTGGGAGCCGGTGGACCAACTCGACTGCCCGAACCTGATAGCCAACTTCGAGGAGTCGCTGAAGAACAGCAAGGAGGAGGTCACGGTGTGCGATGCCGACTCCTCCACCACCGACTTCATTCCCGTCCCCAGGGAGCGCCAGAATCTGACTGGCTTTGAGCGCGGTCTGGAGCCATCAAAGATCCTGGGCGCCACCGATGCGTCCGGCGAACTCATGTTCCTGATGAAGTGGAAGGGCTGCGATCGCGCGGACATGGTGCCCGCCAAGCTGGCCAAAATCCATTGCCCCCAGACGGTCATCAAGTTCTACGTGGAGCGCCTATCCTGGCACAATGGCAGCGAGAACGGCAATGACAACGGTGATCTGGCCTCCTCCTCCGGGGGACTGGGCTCTGCCGAAGTCAGTTGCTCCGCCGACAATATTGCTTACGGCATCGTGAGCACCTCAACCAGCGACGACGAAGAGGAAACCGAATCGACCAGCACCGAATCGACCGGCAGCCTCAACCAGGAGGAGGACGCCGAGCCGGAGATGAGCAGCGAGTTGGACAACGGCCAGTCGGACGACGATGACTAGTTCTGGATGACAATTCCAGATTTTCCCACTTGTGTGAATACACACACGCCGTCTTAACAAACAAACGATATATACATACCTTTACTATCGATTAACTAAAGTTCCAACAAAGATCCGTTCCGCTTTAGGTCATACTTGATCTACAAACAAGTTGTACGATCAAAATACAAAATACAATTGATCTGGCGTAAATAAAAGGTATAAAAACATAGTTAATAGTATTTATTTATTTATTCAATTACCACTTAAGCCGAATGAGGACAGCAAAATGACATTATGGAGTTCCTAACGCAAGGCAGTGCTATCTACTTTATTGCTCAAGATCAATTGATTAAACCGTAAAGCAGCAGCTCTGAAAGGAAAGTGGGATCCCTTCTGATGGAATACCCAAGATTGAGGGGAGGAGAATCCAACTCTGTTACCAACGACGATGTTGATGACGATAAGTGCCCCCGATGTCGGGGCCACAGGGCGTATGAGCACTCGGATCGCGATGGAATGGGATGCGTTTTGATTGATTGATGACGAATCGGGCGTCGTAATTCACGTTGAGAGGCAAACAATTTGCGTCTCCTTCAGCGAGGAGGTGGGAAAACGAATCGCTCAGCGGAGTGCCGCTTGTTGCTTGGGAAAATATTCGGAAACGGAAAATGCCTACAAGCTGAGGCACACAAAACATACATTCACAATGGGAGGGTCCTTCGATTGTGCCAGACAGAAATGTGGGACTAGGACAAGGCCGCAGCAGAATCAAGGAATTATATGGCAATAGTCTGCCGTGTGGCAAAGGCCACGAACCACCAGCCACCGCCCAACGCCCCCCCTTTCGGTAGGAGACAAAAAGCAACAAAAACCAAGGAGGAGCGGCAAAAAAAAGTTGAAGGAAAATTGTTTTTTCCAGCAGTTTGGTTTCGGTTTGGAGTTGAATTTCCTTGCGAGGCACAAAAACCTCCGAATAGCGATTTTTTCACGTTTTTCCCAGAACACACACACACACACAGCTGGAAAAGGAGGTGGTTTTGGCCAAAGTGTGCGTGCGTGTGGGCCTTGGCAGCAAGTCGAGCGTCTGCCTGCCGTCTGCTGGAGCTTTTTCTTTTGCCCTGGCCCAGAGTTCAAGTTCCCCAACCCCAGACCCAACCCCAAAGTACCCCCAACCAAACCCACCCACTTCCCCTTTTCCATTCATCGAACCCAATGGCAACTTGTTGATTTTCGTATGAAATTCACATGCAAAAACCAAACCAATTTCGCCCTTCATTGGCGCTCGCCGGTCGGCATTCGCTTTCCTTTTCCCCATTTCCCCCCCTTTTCCACTTTTCTCTTGTTTCGCTGTGTTTGTTTTGCGTGGCTTTTACTCTCGGCTCTTTTTTTCTCCACACTTTTCCAGCAAACTAGGCTGCTCCGGCAAACGGCCAAAAAGAAATCAATAATCGATTTGGCCTGTAATGCCCGATTTCCCCCCCTTATTTCTTTAAAGTCCCCAGAAATTCCTTATTTATTTTGTGCTTTATGGGGTTGTTAAAGAGTTTCAAGGAGAGTTTGCTTTAGTCCCTTGTGCTTAGAATTTAAATGATACAATATACTGAGACGTTAATTTAAAGTGTTTATTTAAGCCATGTAGCTCTGACTTACTTTTATTTTAAAGCTATTTGGAGTTTGGATATATATGCAAAGTAAAATTTTAGTTGTAAAAAGTTATAGTAAAGCTTCAAAACCAAAACTTGCATGCGTATTACCTCAGAAATATACATCATATTAGTGGACTATCATATCTAAAATGTTTAGTCGGGGATTAATTTAATTGGAAAAATCTGATGTTGTTTAAGGAATTCCATTATAGATATTAAAACAAAACTGGTTGGATATTGCATGTAAAATATAAGATTGTATTAATTTTTTCCCATAATGTATTTTAAAGGTCCCCGAGAAATTCCTTACACATTTAATTGCCTTTACATTGAACGTCATTATAAACTGTTTGTTTATATTATAGCTCTTACATTTAATTAACTTTGATGCTATTTATATTAATAGGAAATTTTTTAATATATATAAGTAAAATTGCAATATATTTACTTATAATAGATTGTAGTCAAGTATTCAAAACTAAAACTAAGATACGTACTATTATTATTAACATATACAATCAGCGGGTTATCTTATATAAGAAATGGTTATTTGGGTCTTAGATTAAATTGTTTTTATTTAAGAAGCCTTAGTATAACTATTAAAATTTCAGTTGCTGGATATTGAAGGTTAAATCTAAGGCTATATTAATCTGTTCCCTTAAAGTCTTTTAAAGTCCACTGACTCACTTCGTCTTCTCTTAGATGTTATCCCAATGTGTCATTAGCATTTTGGAGGCCAAAATCCTTCAGCTGAAACTCGATCCAACGACCGAAAGCCACAACCACATGCCACAATTTACTGCTCGTTCATCAATTGTGACAACGGCTCAAGTAATTCCCTCGGACATTTCACGCCAAACTGAACGCAGACGACACCCAATCAAAGAGTTAAGACTCTGCAAAGTAGAGGACCTAAGAAAATGCAAAAACAAAGGGAAAATAATACCAATTAACAGACATCCAAAAAAAACCGGAGAAAGAGGTTCAAAACGAAGCGCGGAAGCTGGGGTCTGAGGGGAGACCCCTTCGAACCGCTGACATTTATTAATTTCCGATTAGCGGCATGGAATTTATGTGCTACCGAAATTTTGGTAGCCCGGCGATCAGTGTTTAGTGGGCTCGAATTACCTTTCGATTTCGCAGACTCTCCGACTTTCGTCTTCTAATGCCGCCTGACACTTGCTGCCAAGTGTAAACGACGCCACTTCACGGTTCGCTGGCATAAAGATCTCCTTCCCTCTCCTGATTTATAGCCATTGTATTCATAAATCACGAATATCTTTCCACGGCCTGATCTAAATGTGCCTTAAAAGCGCCAATCAAAAGGCAATGTAGGGAGGTGGGGTGCAGGCATGTGGAAACTGGTAACGCTGATCACTTAATCGAGCCGCGATCAAGGCGACCACAATACAATTAACCCCAGGGGGCCTTACTGCCACAACAGACCTGCCATAGTTAGCACAACCCACGCATTTCACTCGAAGTCGTTGCAAGTTGCACTTTAGGTCTGTGGCAAGCAGCCAGGTTGCTTAACGTATAATTGGATTGTCAAAATAGGAAAGAAATCACGACTTTTTTATTGGGGATACAGTAGCTACTCTTCAGAGCTAAACTACGTAATACTTTAAAGTGGGTCAGTTTGTGTGGACCCAAGTAATATGGCAATTCGTATGATGAACAACCTTTTTCAATAATTCTAATTCCCTTTGAGTGACATGATATGACATTTGCATAAATTCCGACTAACTTACTGGTTTTTACTTAAGCTATAAATGAAACATTAAATTAAGCCAGTCAGTTTGTCGAAAGTTAAGATAATGTCATTTGACCTTATGACACTGACTTCATATTGCTAACTGATTGTACTTATTTTTAGAAGTCATGGGAACGTAACCGAATGTTCTATTTATAATCACAAAATGTTATTAAGCTATAGACCTTTTTTTCTTAAGATTACCAAGACTTTATAAAATACATCTAGTTACTTAGCTCAAAAACAAGCCAGTGTTACAAATCTTTAATCATGTTTTAGTTTTTTAATATAAGAAAACCCGGTAATAGTATAGGGGTGTACAATTTATAAATCTTTTTATGATAATAACAATTATACATAATCTTAAAGAATTTATAACATCACCTACACATAAATGGTGAGGTCCTCATACCACCAGCCCCCTTGACCTCAGCTATGTTTAGTTAACATTAACCTCAATCTCAGTTGCATTGTGAGGAGTCCTGTCCCCAGTTGCCCTGCATTGTAAATGTCTTCGTTTAGCATTTAATTTTCTGCGGTTATTCGGTGTGGGTGGAGTGGGATAAATTACTCGTACTTCGAAGGGAAGGCAGGAGTTTTTCCCACAGAGGCAGGACCCAGTGACAGATTGCCTGGAATCCAGTGGGAGGGCGGTGGAACTGGGGGTCAGCTGCTCCTCCTCAGCCTCCTGCTTTGGCTCCTCCTCCGGCCGGTCACAACTCATAATTCATCCGGATAACAACAGTGGAGGTCCTGTTTTCTGTTTGCAGTTTTACTGCTGAAGGGCTGAACCGCCGTTGGTGACGTTTTGACACCATTTTCGGTGCGGCGATGATATGGCATTCATCTTGACAGCCATAACTGCCTCTGATGCCTGCGTGCGAGTGTGTCCTGTGTGGACGAGGATGTGGATGTGAATGTCCTTTGGTGCCCCCAATGATGGCGATGATGATGATGATGACGATGATTTACTCCGTCCGTCCGAATGTCCGCCCACTGTGCGTGAGTGTGGGTGTTGTGTCCGTGATGCATTTACGTCACTTACTTGAATGTTGCAACGCATTTTCGGTCACCCAAAGCACCAGCACACACGCACAGGACACAGGACGCATGACAAACATACGTACACCACCCACTGGGGTGGACCAGGACATGCAGACGCGGGACAGAAGAAGAAGCAGCCAGGGACTGAAACATGTTGCGTCGTTGGCAGCAAAACCAAAAAATGTCCTTGACACTTAATTCACGCTGCATTAATGCGAACTGAAACTGAATGAAGTTGTTCGTTGGCTCCAAACAGGCACAGTGGGACGAAATCATCTGAACTCCGGGATATAACAATCTATTTTTTTAAGGAAATCCTTAACCTGAACTTCTTTCATCCCTTTTTCATATATTTTGTGTTACATTCCTTAGAAATAACCCAAAAAACATTGGAAAAACCTTTTTTATTAAACCATTTTTTTTATTTTATATTTTAAAACGTACACCGCATTAGATTTTAAAAGGTAATCTAAAAATTAAACTAAAAAAAGTTTGAAAAACCATTTGTTTTATGGGTTCTATCTTACATTTACTCCAATTGCATGGGTTCATTCACGGGCTTGATCAATTTCACCATTCGATTTATGCTAACGCCTTGCTTTCCATTTTTTGGCAATCTTCCTTTCACAACAGTAGTTCGAACTATAATTACTTTGGCAGTACCCATATTATCAAAAAGTAGTGAGAAATAAAGTTTCAAAATTTATGTTAGTTCCCAATTTAAAGGAATGAATTATTTGACTTCTACTAAAATGAGTTCTAAATCA